AAGATTTCTTAGGCGCGATCACCCGTATCGTAAGTAGAAAAAGGCCTTCGATGGGAAAGTTGAGGAGGGGGTTGCGCCTAGGCCATTAAGTGGAAAGGAGGTTTATGAGAGAGTGAAGGGTATTCCATGTGTTTTTGGTAAAACAACGAAACCAATTGACCCACACACTCTCTTTAAAAAGGAATCAATCTTTTGGAAGCTTGAGTACTGGAAAGAACATGATGTTAGACATTGTCTCGATGTGATGCATATAGATAAGAATGTTTGTGATGCAATTCTGGGGACAATTATGAACATTCCCGGAAAAACGAAGGATGGCAAGAGTGCGCGGTTAGATTTGCAAGAGTGGGGTGTTTGTCCGGAGTTGTGGGTTCAAGCTAAGGTAGGGATGGCGATGGTTAAGGAAAAGGGAAACGAAGATGGTGGTCAAAACCGTAAGGGGAAGCGCAAGGAAAAGGCCACGGGTATCGCAAAGAAGAAAGGTGATGGAAAAGGAAAGAACCAAAAGGTGTATTTACCTCCAGCTTGCTACACATTATCAAAGGAAGAAAAACGGAGGTTTTGTGCTTGTTTGTATGACATTAAGCTTCCATCTGGGTTCTCGTCAAACATGAAAAGGTCTGTTTCCTTGAATGTAGAATTGAAGTTCACAAGTATGAAATCCCATGATTGTCACATGTTGATGCAAGTTTTCCTACCGATTGCACTTAATGGTATTTTACCAAAGAACGTGAGAGAAGTTATAACAAGCCTCTGTGGGTTTTTTCAATAATATCTGCAGCAAAGTTCTTGATCCCTTTACACTTGATGCTCTCCAGGCGACTATTGTGCTAACTTTGTGCAAATTTGAGATGTTTTTCCCACCTTCACTTTTTGACATAATGGTGCATTTGATTCTGCATTTGGTTCGTGAGACTAAGTTGTGCGGTCCACTATTTATGAGGTGGTGCTACCCTTTTGAACAACACATGGGTACACTGCAAGATAAAGTAAGAAATCCAGCCCAACCGGAAGGCAGTATGATACAAGGAATTGTGTCCGAGGAGATTGGGAATTTCGTGGCAGAGTATGTTGCCGTTACCGAACCTATTGGGCTTCCCACTTCCCGACATGAAGGGAGACTTGATGGTCATGGCACAATCGGGTCAAAAAGGATCTGGGCTGCTCGAGATCAAATCATGCAAGCTCACCTATTTGTGCTTCATCATATTGCGGAGGTTCACCCATATTTAGAAGAGCACATGGATAGTTTGCGTGTTGAATATCCATAAAAAGGGGAAAGAGCACTAATGCAGTTGCATAATAAGATGTTTGTGAAGTGGTTCCATGATCGTGTGATGCGTTAATTGGATGAGACTGTGTCTGATACAATAAAGTGGCTAGCTTATGGTTCAAAGGAAGATGTTAATTCATTTGAGGGATATGATATAAATGGGTACAAATTTTGGACTGAAAGTCGGGATCAGAAATCCTCATCGACTCAAAATAGTGGTGTCACTCTTGTGGCTTCATCAAGAGAGTTTTCAAGTGAAAAGGATACATCACCAGTTGACGAACTATTATCGTACTATGGACGAATTCAGGAAATATGGGAACTAGATTACCGTGACTTCAAGGTTGGTCTATTCAAGTGTAAATGGGTCGATAATAATAGGCGCAACGTGAGAAATGATGACTTCACTCTTGTAGATATTGGCCACTTGCGGGATAGTCTTGAACCATTCATCCTTGCATCTCAAGCTAAGCAAGTGTTCTATGTAACTGACCCGTCCGATCCAAGATGGTCCATCATCCTGGCTGGCAAAAAGAGAATGTTAGGGGTTGGAGAGGTTGAGGACGAGGAAGAATATGATGCATTTGATGATTCTCCCCCTTTCACTGCTCCTACACTTGATGTAGCAACTGATGTAGATGATGATAGATCTTATATTCGATCTGACCACAATGAGGGAATATACGAATGAGGTACTTTTATTAATGCATGTTTTATTTACTAAATATCTTATGCTCCAACAACTTTGTTTATTTCGGGAAGTGTTTTATTTTTTTGTATTTTCAACGTATAAGCATGTAATATGAACTAAATATATGAATTATATAGAGGATTATATGTGAATTTGTTATGAAACCAAAGAAGTTGGGTAAGTGTTTGTCTTTCTTCGTGCCTCAGATTTGATTGCCATTACTGATGACTAACAACATGATTTGCTTGTTTACTATAGGTGTGCACATATCATGGATCCTAATGAGAACCTTCATTCTGATGAGGATATGGATGATGATGATGATGACGAGTTGTATTATGTTAATAAGGAGACGGATATGGGGGAACCGGAAGACCAAGCTTATGACGAGTTCCAACATAAGCTTGTTGAATTTGAGCGTATAGCTGAAACTGCCCCACCTATTGATGATAATGTGGTTACCGAAGTTGTAGGTGATTCACATTGTGAAACTCAAATGCAAAGGCAAAGTAGTGCTAAAATAGGCAATTTCGGGTAAAAGCTGTCCTAAAACTTAGTAGAATGCTAATTTGCTATGATTTCAAACATTAGACACCTAAGACTAGTTGTAATTGACATATTATGATAGATAAATAGCTCATTAGATAAGAAATGTAGAAAACGGGCAAAGTAGTAGTGAAATAGGCGATTTCGGCTAAAAGCCGTCCTAAAACTTAGTAGAATGCTAAGTTGCTATGATTTCAAACAATACACACCTAAGACTAGTTGTAATTGACATGTTATGATAGATAAATAGCTCAGTAGATAAGAAATGTAGAAAACGGGCAAAGTAGTAGTGAAATAGGTGATTTCGGCTAAAAGCCGTCCTAAAACTTAGTAGAATGCTAAGTTGCTATGATTTCAAGCATTACACACCTAAGACTAGTTGTAATTGACATGTTATGATAGATAAATAGCTCATTAGATAAGAAATGTAGAAATCGGGCAAAGTAGTAGTGAAATAGGCTTTTTTGGTAAAAGCCGTCCTAAAACTTAGTAGAATGCTAAATCGGGCAAGTTAGAATGATGTTTGAAATATTTAACATATATACATTATTTTTTTTTAATTATTAGTTTTAATTTTATGTAATATATAAATGATGTTTAATGTTTGGTATTTTTTTCTTTTCAAAGGTTTGTAAGATTAAAAGGGAAGGCCCTTTGACAAAGGAAGAAGTTGATGAAATTCGCGACATGTGGGCTTTTTTTGTGACATTTGATGGCATCTAGGTAGAAATATAATGTATATGTGTTAGTTAGATAATGAATGAGATTGAGTTTTTTTTTTTATTTATGAACAATTAATATTTAGTTACTATATCTTTTTTATTTTTATTAAATCCATATGTACATTATATTACTTATTTGTAATTAGTACTATACATTATTTATGAGTTTTATATATGTTATTATTATTATGCATTTTATTGTTATTGAATTATTATTATTCCAAAATTTGTAATATTTTTAATTAATTATTAATATTAATTAATAATATTAGTTAATAATAATAATAATTTTTAAAATTACAAATTAATGTGCATATCAAAATAGGTCACTAGTAATCTTATTATTATTAATTATTATATATATAAAAAAAAAAATATTACAAATGGGAAGCGGTTTGGCGCCAAAACCGCTTGCCATTTGCACTGGACATAATGTTATGTGAAGTGCAAATGGCAAGCGGTTTTGGCGCCAAACCGCTTTCCATTTCCCCCAAATGGGAAGCGGTTCTGAACCGCTTGCCATTTTCATGGCAATTGGCAAGCCCCCTAAACCCATGCGGTTCAGAACCGCTTCCCATTTGGGGTTTTGAACCGCTTCCTATAATGTTTTTTCTACTAGTGTTAGTAATTGGTTTACTTCCTTTTTAAGGCTGTTTTGAAATAGTTATATAATGGTTCTTCAGGTTTTTCCACATTACTCACTCACTTCTACTATGATGACTGATGAGATTGGTAGTTGAAATATTTTCTATATCCTACTTGATGTACTTACTTTAAATTTATCACAACATCTCTCAATGTACTTGCTTTAGTTTTATCACCACATCTCAATATTGTTTATATATGATATGTATTAATGTCTTGCCCAAGTTTATTCTTGCTACTAAAGTTTCTTTGGATATGCTATGTATTTGTACTTTCACGACATTATCATTCATAACCATATTAGTATACAGTTGCCAGTCTTGCCACTGTTTTTAGTTGCCTTCCTCTGTTCATATTCCGTATTTTATTTTAAGTATTCTTATAATGGCTATGTTAAGCTTTCTAATAAGTTGGATTTTATGCTGCTACTACATCTTTGTTTATTCTTGTACTTGTACATCCCAGGCTCCCTAACTCTTGCTTTTGATGTTGATATTTACAACTCTATCTAACTTGCATCGTAGAATCCATGTGATATGTCTGTTTCAATGATCTTTTCTTTGAGTTGTTCATTAAAGAGTATTTTCAATAATATACCTCAATGATTATGGCTACTTTAAGGTACTTTGACCATACTTGTATTGACTCCGTTTAACCAATCTTCCTATGTGGTCCTGAAAGCATGCACATTACTATTTTTTTTTTAATGTTTTTCATTCTTGCATCGTTTGTACCTTTATGATATAAGTCATATAACATTAGAATTTTTTATTTTTATATCTTATGGAAATGTATTCTTAAATGCATGGAAATGGTTTTATATGTCATATTCCTCTTAATGCAGGAGCTGTAGTGCCAGCGTTGTCATTCAACAACATTTCTTATCATATCATGGTTGACAATTTTTATGTCTGCATCTTCAAAGGATCGGCCTTTTACGGTTCAAGAGGTTAAAGATTCCTACTTAGTGAGATTTTGTTGCTGCCTTGCTACTTCCCTCCTACTGACGACAGTGGCGGACCCAGGATTTTCCGACTGGTGAGTCACAATCGATAATCAAATATGTAAAATTTTTTTTTTACCAAATAACCAAATAATAGTACTAAAAAATACATCCAAATATTCAAACAGTACAAAATACAACCAAATGTTCATATAATACTACAAAAGACAACTAAATAGTAATGCAAACTTATTAAAATAGTTCTCGACGAGTTTTCATGTTTTGATATCGATTCATGATATCTTCCATGCTAACATTCAAAAACAAATCATTCTCCAAATAAGTAATTAAACAATCATTCAACATTTGATCTCCCATGCTATTTCGTAGTTTGTCTTTCACTTGCTTCATGCCAGAAAATACTCTTTCCACACTTGCCGTTGCGACAGGAAGAAGCAACACCAACTTCAAAAGTAAATAGACCCTATCATGAGTTTCAGACAATCCCGTTTCAACCAATTTGATTGAAAGATCACTAAGACCCTTCAAATTCCAAAACCTTTCATCTCCTCTAACAGAACAAATGTAACTATCAAGTGTATGACCAAAGACTATCAATTCTGAACTTGGAAATTCATTAGGATAGAATTTTGCAAGCTTAATCAATTTTTCCTTATCAAACTTTGAAAAACGATCCACAGGACTCAAACAAGACATACACACAAGTAGTTCTTTAGTTATTTCGGGAAATCGATTTTCAAGTTCTTGCAATTGAAGATCAATGACACCAAAAAAAACTTCAACTCGAAAATGATGTAGATTAGACACTTGTGGGCATTTACCTCTAAACAACCTCCTCCCGGGAACAACATATTTAGCCTCCATTGGAACTGCAATGTCATAGTCACCAATAAAAGAAATTACCTTTTCCATATGAGAATCCCATCCTTCATCTCTCATTTTTTGCAAATTAGTCTTGGTTACATTAACCATGGCCATTGCATTCACAATGTCTTGATCGTGCTTTTGTAAGGCCACATTCAAAGCATTTGTTATCGCAAATATACTAACCATCAAGTGTGCCACGAACACAAAATCAAAGGACATCAGAAGATTTGTAAGTGTTTGAGCTCTATTAGAATCTATTGTATCAGATACTTTTGCAATATCCTCAAGAGAACCAAGGATTACAGGGAATAAATCAAGTACATTCAAGATTGTCTTGAAGTGAGATCCCCAACGAGTATCACAAGGTCTACCTAATCCACGTTCTTGATTTAAACCTGAACCCGTTTCAAGTTCACCTAGAGACAATGCATCCACCACTCTTTGAGCTTGATTTTCACGAAGAAACTCTTTCCTTTTTGGTGAACCCCCCACAAAATTCAAGAGAGGTGCAAGTACATCAACAAATAACCAAGCACAATCTGAATTCTTTTTAGCAAGTGCAACTTGAGTTAATTGAAGTTGGTGAGCAAAGCAGTGGACAAAATAAGCTTCTTTACACTCATTCTCTATAAGAGTCCTAAGGCCATTAATAGAACCTTGCATATTACTTGCCCCATCATAACCCTGACCCCGTACTTGAGAGAAAGACAAAGAATGCTCCATTAATAAGGATTCAATAGCAGTTTTGAGAGCCAAAGAAGCAGTGTTTACAACATGCACAATACCAAGTAAACGCTCACACACTTCTCCCTTTCTATTAACATATCTCAAACAAAGAGCCAATTGTTCCTTGTCAGAAACATCAGCGGACTCATCAGCAAGGATAGAAAATAAACCACCATCAATATCTTCAAGCATTGCTTTAGTGGTCTCTTTTGCACATGCATTTATGATATCTTTTTGGACTTTAGGAGAAGTAAGTTGACAATTACTAGGAGCATTTTTGAAAACAACTTTAGAATATTCAGGATTACCTTTGGAAATAAGGGATAAAGTGAAAGAAAGTTACCTCTTCTTAAGGAACTTTCTTTTTCATCATGACCACGGAAAGGCAACCCTTGGAGTAAAAGCCATTGGATAGATTCAATTGAAGCTTCAAGTTGCGTCCTATATGCATTTGTACTATCAGCGGTTTGTTTTGTTAAGGCTTGTGTGATGCTTGAATTTTGTTTCTTGAACAAATCCATAGCTAAAACATCATTATTATGTGTACTCAAGTGTTTACCGACATGTTTTCTTATTAAATCCGATCGATTCCATGATTTGAAACCATCACTAACAAAAGCATCACCTCCAAAGGCATTTTCATCCTTGAATAGATAACAAGGGAAACAATAGGCAGCATCCTTTTCCACACTATACTCAAGCCAAGTCCAAGTATCAAACCACTTAGCACAAAAGCGACGATTTTTGCCAAAAATAGAAGTTTGAGGAAATGTAAAGTCTTTGGGCTGACAAGGCTTTCTTTGAATGTAAATTCTTCTCACTAAATCTCTATCATCTTTATGAAATTGACTCATTTTTCTCCTCTTTCCTGGATCTTGTGGAAGATTAGCAAATTCATGTTCACTTAATCTTTCTCCAAAGATTGGGGCATTAGGAGAACATTGGCCTTGTTCATTTTGAGGGGAATTTTGAGTTGAATAATGAGATGGAGATGAAAGTTGCTCACTTTCTTGAGGTGGAGTTATAGTTTGTTCATTTTGTGTTGGATGTGGAAGAGAAGTTGGAGTAGGATTTTTTTTTAGCAAAGAAGCTAGTAATGTTTTGCATTTCATTTGGAGTATGTTTTCTCTTCATTCTGAAATTTGAATAAATATTGAACTAAATCAAGCAATATTCCCCAGAAAAATTATTTGAATAAATATTCAACTAAATGGTCTAAATCAAGCAATTTCACATAATGACATAATCACATAAACATATTACACAAAACACAATTACACAAAACAGATTTCACATAAGTAATAACTAATAAGTTTAAGAGATTTCAATTACACAAAACACAATTACACAAAACACAATTACACAAAACAGATTTCACATAAGTAATAACTAATAAGTTCAAGAGATTTCAATTACACAAAACACAATTACACAAAACACAATTACACAAAACAGATTTCACAAAAAAAATCAATTGATGATTAGTTGATTACCTACCTTGCTAGGCAGTCGGCAGTCGGCAGCACTCAAGTCTCCAGTGGCGTAAGTTTTGGGAGTAAGTACCGGGCAACTTTCTTGGCTTTCTCAATGGCACAAACTTTGCTCCGATAGCCAAGGCAATAGGGGGACCAAAGATAAAACCTCTTGCTTCAATGCCTAGCAAAACAAAACTTCCAGTTGAGCAACACAAGACAAAAAAGTTAACTCTAAGGTTTGTGGATAGCTGTAATAACTGTTCTGAGAAGAGACCAATTTACAGTATATATGATAAAATATGATGTAAAAAGTGCAAACATGAATTAAGACTTTACTTAAAAACCTACATACTTAAGGTCACCATCCACAAACATATTACCAGTGATATTCTAGCTATCCTGAAGCTAAATTGGTTGGGGAATCTAGATAGTAAACATTAAACTCTCTTCCCCTTTATCTCTAAAATGAATAGCATGATTTATGGCAGCTTAAATTGGCTCGACTAAGAGAAATCTCGTACAAAAATGTGGATACCAGATAATAGCAAGATCTAACCAAGAAGGCTGATAAATTGATAATTTATGATCATTTGATAAGATGATACCCACTGAGTTCTGCAGTGACATCCTCAAAGCATAAAATACAAATATGAGCAAGTAGATTGTAGATAGAAACAGGCAACAGGGTTTCTCCTGATCACAGGAGCAGGAGTGTAATTAACAGATAAGCAAAGAAAGAGACAGAAACTGCTGTTTATGCACATGCGACAGCAATAACCACATCAGACAACCACATTTCATCATCCAGCTTAGCAAATCAGTTGTTACAACAATAACAAAGATCAATAGTCTTTAATAGCTCGATTATGAACGGGCCGATGCAATAAAAGACAGCATAATGAATAGGAAAGAATAAAAGCAGCTAAGCCACTGAAAGATATTCAAAATAGGAGTAAGTAGATCACTCGACTTTAAGCAATTCGCCAATTCAGCAATCAGCAGCACAGCCAACAGTAAAATAACAAATCAACCAAAGTTTAAACCAAAGTTTAATAAAATTAACAAATTAGACTGAATTAATTTGAAGATTAGAAATTAAAAATAAAAATTAGAAATCAACTTACTAGCACCGACGTTTCGAGTAGCGATTTCACAAAGAGGACGGAGTCCACGAGTCACGACCACCGAGTCACCGACGTCCGACTACCAAGCGATTAGGCGAAGAGAACGGTGGCTGCCTGGCGAAGCGAAGAGGCGAAGTCACGAAGAGAAGAATGGAGATGAGCGAAGAGGCGAAGTCACGCACTCACGCGAAGTCACGAACAGAAGAATGGAGATGAGGCGATTAAGAATGGAGGCGATTAGGCGGAGAAGGCGAAGTCACGATTCACGAAGAGAAGAATGGAGGCGATTAGGCGGAGAAGGCGAAGTCACGATTCACGAAGAGAAGAATGAAGAGCACGAAGAGGCTAGGGCTTGAAAGCCTTGAAGTCTCCTCTAACTGATTTTATTTTTTATTATTTTTTTTTTATTTTTTTTTTTTTAAAAAAAATAACTTAAAATTTTTTTTTGGGCCTGGTGAGTCACTTGACCCACCAGGTCTAAGCCCAAGTCCGCCACTGACTGATGACATTGATGCCCCTGCTACTTCACGTTCTGCTCTGCTAGTCTGCTACTTCACGTTCTGCTGTTGGGATGCTACTTCACATTCAGCCTTTGCTAGAGCATCTGCTGTTGTTGCTTTAAGTTATTTATTTTCAAAAAAATAAAAAAAAATGTATATCTTCAAGTTTCTATTGGTAAAAAATAATTGGTGTTTATGGATGTTTTTTTTAAGAAACTATAAAATTATATCCATTCACATTTTGGTATATCTTATATGTTAATTTCACATTTGTGATCATTGTATATGTTAATTCTTTATAATTTGATTGAAAAATGTGATACATAATGTCGAATAAAATGCTACTATATGTCAAAATATGAATGAAAAATGTTACCTAACAATCAAAAAAGTGTTACATTAGTTCAAAAAAGTGGTACATAATGTTGGATAAAGTGATACTTTATGATTGAAAAATGTTACTAGAAATAAGTAAGTGTTACATAAGAAATAAAAAGTAACACTTTAAAAATCATACTAATAATATAAAAAGTGGTACATAAGAGGATTTCTAGTATCATTTTTAAAAGTGTTACCATAAGTTACCCGAAGTGTTACATAAGACCTTAGGTAACATGGGCGGAAGTATCACCCAATAAAGTGTTACCTATTGTCTATAGTAACACTTTTACCACTTTATGTAACACATTTTGGGTGTTACTTGAGGTTAGTTTTCTACTAGTGTTACTCTCTTCCAACATTTTAAACATTTCCATTTGGATTTTCACAATTTCCAAATATCTCATCTCATTTGGTTCCAAATTAGAATTCATCTCCAATTTTCTTAAAGAACCACCAATTTGATTATAAGAAGACTCAAAGGTAGGGTTTAAAGATTGGAAGGATGAAGAGCATTGAGGAGCATCATGGGGGAAAGAATTATGTGCAAGCATGCAAGGATCAACATTAGAGATATGAGAGGCATCATCAAATTGGGGAATGGGGGCACAAGTAGGCCTGCAAGATTCATCATTCATGGAACATGGACCATAACAATCATCAATGGAAGCATTTGAATAACAATGACCACGATCACAACTATCTCTAGCAAACCATACATAAAAGTCCCAAGCATCATCGATTGACAATGCCCGAAATCCACCATTAAACATGCTTTCAACAATGTCTCTAGTTTGCTCATTCAAATCATGATAACAAATCTCGCAAGCCTCCCAAATATCACAACCATGGTAACTAATGAAGTTCTCTTTTCTATTAAAGTACACCCAAAATAGCTCATTCTCAAACTGAGAAATCGAGGTACTTTCTGTTTTTTTTAAACCAAGCAAAATTCAAATAAAATAAAAGTATACACAAAGACCTAGACTCAAGCAATAAAAAACACTCAAACATAAACACCATTCCCCGACAATGGCACCATTTTGACAAGGGGAAAACTAGGTCGTTATCTAATCTTCCCTCAGTCAAACTAAATTTATAAACACTTAACAAACCTAAATACGAGTATAGAGGCAAGTCAAGGGTCAAACCCAAAGGAACAACAATGTTCAAGCACTTTCAATTATGCGCCTAAGCTAGGTCGAAATCAAAGGGTAAAGGGAGAATACTAATAACTAACAAAACAAGTAACCAAAGTAATAAAACACTAGGAACGGGGATCAACAAGTAATCATGTCAATTACAACAACTTGGAAAGATCAAGTCAATCAAAGGTTGTGAAGACTAATGATAAGAGCAATCAATTAGAATCAAAGAGATATCTCCTAATTGTTAAGCTAGGGTTCACTATGAATAACAAACTAAGAGAATCACAATCAAAACCAATCGATAATTGTAATTACTAAATCAATTGTTCGTGTCATTCGCAATTACAATGCAATCTAGCATAATTCTCGAGGCCTAATCGAATTACACACATGAAAGCCTTCATTAATCACTTTAATCTCAACAATCAATCAATACAATTCCCAAATTAATCACAATTAATCAATCATACAAGTTTCACCCAATTCCTAGCCAAACAACTATTCAAGAATGATCATCTATCAACTAACAACTATGAAAATCAAGAATCAACAATATATCAAGAATAACTACACTAATAAAGCATCAAACATCAAAGTTAATCCAAAAAAACATGAAATTAAACAAAGCATTAAGGTGAGAAAGAGTTAAGAATGCTCATTAATAATAGAGAAGATCTTGAACACAATTGTCACCCTTGTATCTCCAATCTCTCAATCACCATTGAAATCCTTCACTTTCTCTCTCTAAAACTACTCCTAATCTAGCCTGATCTAGACAGAGAAGATCTCAACCTAAGAGAGAGAACATTATTGTAAAACTAAGAATTACATGAATGAATGATAATAAAAACCCCCAAAAACTATCTATAAACAAAAGGAGAAAAGAAGCTTAAAATCGTAAAAGACCCAGAAGCCTGCGCCCTTGGAGAAATCGGCCACGCCCATAGAGGGGAGCGGACACACCGGAATCCGCGCCCGCGGGGCCAAGGCTCGCGCCCACGGGGAGCCTGCGGCCAGCCCTCGGGGACTTACTGCCCAAAATCGGCAGAAATAGGTTGCGGCAGATTTGCAGGGCCAACTTTGGAAGGTTGTAACTCTTATTCTAAGAATTTTATGAAAGCATGAAACCTATCATTGGAAAGCTCTCCAAGTCTATTTTCCAACTCAACTTGAATCACCTCAATCCAATCTGTAAAACTCAAGATATGGCCGAATCAATGCACAAAGGT